AGGCATCAATTCTCCTTCTGTCCTCCCTAGTCATTGTCCAACTCTCTGATGCATAACAAGTGATTGCAAAAACCATGGCCTGTATCAGGCGGACCTTAGTTTCCAGAGAGACACCGTTGCTCTTGAGTACTTTAGAGACTTTGTAAATACATTACAAAACATTTTAATACAGAGTTTGAAAATAGGTAGTTTACCATCTCATATGACTCTGCAAAGTTTAAAACATCATCACGAAACACTTCCACAGATTCTAGCAGATTACTTTTAAACTTAGGCTGCAGTTGAACTAATTCGTCTTGTACAGAAACCTAGAATAAAAAACAATTGACAATTTAGAGTAAAATTAATCTATTAATATATGAAATATCACACATAAATATTCTATATTTGCAAAATTGTCTCTGCAATTCAATTTGTTTTTTTTGTTTTTTAATTGAGATTTTAATGAAAGTTTATGAAGAACTTGGATTTCTAATCATTCATTGTAGCATATTTTCCTCCCTGCCCCACTCCAGTCCACATTTTTCTTTACAATGTAGTTCTTATTCTGGACCCTTGTCATGCCAATAATACCTAATCAAATATTCCTTTCATATAGTTCTTTCCTTCATCTGTTTCAATGCAGTGTATTTTATTTATTCTGTTTTTTCTTAGTTTCCCCCAAACCTCAATGTCAGTGCAGTTTTATAACAGTGGCATTATGCAGTATTTGTCCTTTTGTAACTGAGATATTTCACTCAGCATAATGTCTGTCCTCCAAGGTGAACCATTTTGTATAATATTTAATGAGAGGGTTTTTGGTTTTCAGTGCTGCACAATAGTTCACTGTGTGACTATACACAGATTCTCTATCCATTCATTTGTTGATGGGCACATGGGTTGTTTGCAATTCTTTGTACAAAGCAGCAATAAACATGGGTGTGCATATATCTGCTTGGGTGGAGATAATGGTTTCTTTGGGGTATATTCCCAGTAGTGAAATTGCTTGGTCAAATGGTATTTCTATTTCCAACTTTTTGAGAAAGTGCCATACTGCTTTCCATAGTGGTTGCACCATTTCACACTGCCACCAACAATGAGTAAGGGTTCCAGTTTCTCTACAACATCACCAGCTTTTGTTGTTTGCTGCTCTGCAGAATTTTGCTATTGTTACAGGAGTGAGATTATATCTCACAGTTGTTTTGATTTGCATCTCTCTTAGAGCTAGGGATTATACAAAGAAATGTGTAAAAGAAGTAACAAATTAAATGCATCAACAGGAAATGTAGGGCATACCCCAAGATTCATCCATTAAAAGGAATGAAAACACTCTGATGCATGTTACAACATGGATGAATCTAGAAAACACTAAATGAAATAAGCTAGATCAAAAAAAAGGACAAATGTTGTATGACTGTACTTAAATGAAATAAACTGAAAAGGCAAATTCATAACCCTCCCCACTCCCATGGTAGATCAGAGGTTACCAGGAGCTGGAGGATGGGAGAATAGGAAATTACTGCTTAATGGGCACAGTTGCTTTGGGATGACGAAACATATCTGGAAATAGTGATGATGGCTGCATAACACTGTGAATGTAATTAATGTCACTGAATTGTACTCTTAAAATGACAAAGTTAATGTCATTATATATTACTATCATAAAGCATGTATTAAAAAGTCATGAAGTAACATACTAGCATGTACCTCAAAATGAAAGAAGTTTGAAAATAGTTTGTTAACAAGTTGGTTAACATAGTGTAAGATTCTATATGTATGAAATATTCAAAAGAAGGAAATCCATAGAGACAGAAAGCAGATTATCAGTTGTTTGGAGATCAATGTTTCTCAATAAGGTCAATGAACTCAATGTTTCTCATTGCCATCAAGTCAGAATATATTAAAAACTGACTCTCCAGTGGACTTTGGGGAGGCTGTAAACCACATGGTAGAAGATTGCTCACCTTCTCCCAAAAAGCAACTGGGTGGAATCACCGGAGAAGTTAACAGTGCAATCCTCTACAGGCTAAGCCCCCACAAAGCTCCTTGCCAGGGGAACAGAGTGAGAAAAAAGTGAAATATAGGATTTCTAGTAGGATTCAGGATTTATAATGGACACAGGTTTTCTTTAGGGGGTGGTGAAAATGTTCTAAAACTACTTTACAGTGACAGCTGCATTGTTCTCTGAAACTAATGAAAAGCATTCAAAAGCAAACTTTCAAATGGTGACTTTTACATTGTTGTTGCTGCTGTTGTTGTTGTTGTTATGTGCCGTCAAGTCACTTGCAACTCATAGTGACCCTATGTACAACAGCTCTTAACTTTGCTCTGTCTTGGGCCAATCTCATTGTCTCCGACACACTCATCCCGATTGCCCCAGTCACCGAACCAATCCACCTCCCAGAGGGCCTTCCCCTCCTGCGGCTGCCATCCACCCTCCCAAGCA